ATTACTTAACTCTTTAAGAACCACCAATAGTTTCCTTAAAACGAAATATTATGTTGCATGTGCATTATTTTATTTGTCACCTTTCACAGCATAAATTAAAATTTTTAACCCCTTAAAGTTAAAAGCTTAACCCTTTAGGTCTCTGCTCATTATTATTTTTACTCCTAAAATATCACTACTAATTTGATCAATAAAAAAATATATAGCAACTATGATAATATGTATAATTAACTATGTTTTAGTTGAATTTATGAACTGTTACAATTGACCCCGTAAGTGGGGACAATTGTAACAAGTGCACGACTGTCGAAAATTGTTTATTACTAATATAATAACATTTAAAATAAGGTATTTATATATTTTTCTAGTAGAGAATAGTCTACTTTACTCGTCTGTCAATTAATACAGATAATATATTGGATTTTCTGTTAGTTAAAAATAGTTAAGTAAAAAATGTTACAATTGACCCCACTCTCCCCTATATATATATATATATACATAAAAGAGAGAGAGCTCCCCCCCCCCTTCTTTGAGATACTTCCGCCGTCACTGCTGTCAATGCATCATCTCCATACACATCGGATTATTTTTTTTTCTTGCTTGAACAGCATTTTTTTAAAAATAAAAAAATATATACGGCAAAAATGCAGCATTAACTTTACCTATTTGAATGGGTTTCAACCGAAAACTACTGCGTAGAATCTAGCGAACATTTTCGCAAGCATAACCTTTGCTATATCAGCTGTCAAAATATAAAATATTATGTATCTTAAGTGTGACTTAAGTTGTCTGTGAAAAATACATTTAAGTCTCTATTGGAGGGGGGGGGGAGGGAACGTAACTACTTTCTGAACAAACCAATAAAAAATATTCTCACTGATAACTAAAAAATAAAATAATAGCACAGGAAATTTTAATAATACTAGGATATTGGGCAATTAAATTTAAATTTCCTTGTTTTAATGAATGCTCAACTGAAAAAAAATTCTAAATTTTTAAGAAAATCTCATTTTGCATTTTTTAATTTTTCTTAGAAAGTGCCATGTGTTAAAGGAAGTTGTAACTAATTTTAAAACTCATTTAAAAGAATGCATTGGTTTCCATAGCAACCGCATACAGCAAATCTCTCATTTCTTTCTTTTTTTTTTTTTTTTTTTTAATAAATCTTTCATATTTATTTTCATCCTTTCATTTTACGGACACCCGTGAGAACTTCGCATTAACACTCAACTTACTTAATCTTTAACTTAACTTAATATTAATAAACAGATACATATTTTTTCTTCATAACTTTAATGTTTACGAAGTTATGAAGAAACTCCATATTTGCTAAGGCTAATATTCTTCCAAAAACGAAATCTTTAATTACATTTGAAGATCGAAAATGTAGAAAATGTACTTATTGAGAAGAATGTTTTGGTATCCTTAGCAATGGCATTCAGCAAGCACATATTTCTTTTGGTTTTTCTTTAAAATATTTTTCAAATTCATTTTTATTCCTTCGCTTTAGGGACACCCATGGTAACTTTACATTAACACTCAACTTACTAAATCTTTAACTTCAAAACTTAATTTTTAAATAAGTAACTTAATCTTTAGCTTAATCTTAATGAACAATCACATAATTTTCCTTCATAACTTTCATGTTCACATTTGCTAAGGCGAATATTCTTCTTCAAAAAACAAAATTTTTAATTACATTTGAAGCTCTCAAATGTAGAGAATAAATCAAATTCTGATCAAACCAATATTTCAGTCATAATAAAGTTAGTCAGTTTCACAATATATATTAACTTTAAAAAGAAATTCTTGTACGTATAGGTAAATTCTTCTTGTTTTCTAAGGAAAATAATCATGATTCTTAAATTGTTAAACTGACAACAAACCATTTTCATCTGTTATCACAAAATTTGTATTCTGTATTATTTTTGTCCTTTTTAAATAAATACAAATTGACTGATCCTGGGATATCCTGTTTAATCTTTCCACCTTTTTTCGGTCTCTTTATTTTGTCATGCTTAATTTAAAATATTTAATACATTGAGTCTCAGAGTATGAAACAACATTAAGGACAGTATAGCCATATAACTCCATATTTGATCTAATTTGAATTATTTCAGATTTTGATCTACGATCGTATATAAAAAGAAACTATTTAAGTCGGTAAGATCTTTTCAAAATTTCAAAAGAAGAAATAAAAAGAGACATTTTTATAATAATGCAAATAAAATTATAAATAAATTACATTGCAAGATAGCTTATGAGACATCAAGCATTATTAATAAATTATTATTGTAATTAATTTAAACTACGCGAAATAAAAAATAGAACCCCTTAATAAATTGTGATCTATTAATTGCATTATCACTTTCTTGACTTACGTCACTTAAAAGATGCAATCTTAGTTCGAAGAACATAACTTAAATATGGTTATTAATTTGTGCACACGATAATTCAATTTGCAAAATCAGAGCAAATCTGATTTTAAAACTTATCTGAAATTTCTATGAATAAACATGCCGTTTTTATATTATTATTTTTTCTGTTGATTTGGATTCTTTACTCTAAAAACATGAAGGGGTGTCTCATGTCGCAATCTAGAAAATATTGTCCCAATAGAAAATAGAGGAGAGCAATAGAAAGTTTGGGTGCCTTAATTATAATTTCAATTTTTCATGCTGAGCAATATCAAAACTAACACATTTTTAAATTTTTTTCAAGAACAATTTAACTGATTCCGTTTGAATTCCATATTTTGTTATTTGAAATTACAAAGTTAGAAAATGATGTGAAAATTTGCATATTTTATAATTCAAGTTTTAAAGAAAGAAGTTCTTGAGAAGAAGAAAGAAGTTTTCAAGAAAGTTTTAAATTTGTTTGTATTCATCTATCATGCGTTTTAATCTATGCTAAATACTTGGGAATTAATTAATGTTAACTCATTAGTCTACTTAACAATATATTCAGAAACATTCAAATTTTCTTACAATATCAAAACAGATTGCGCATGGTATTTTAAACTTCTTCAGGAAATAAGATAATAGTATTTTAAGTTTGATTATTTAAAGTACAATTTTTTTTCAATCCATAAATTTTTGATGTTTCTCCTTTTGCTTAATTTGCATTAAAAAGAGTATTTTAAGCATTTCAAATCAAGTATTTAATCGCTTTCAAACAAATAAATATTTATAAAAACTTGACACTACCAATTAAAAAGACTTTTTAAATATTTTATCGTTTTTAACTTTTTGAAAATATTTTTATCATCAGCCATTTCTTATTTCCTAAGAAATTAAAAATTTTGTGCTATGTAGTTCTTAAAAAATAAATATATGATGAAATATATATATATATATATAATGAAATATTTGTTCAGAAAGGAAAACATTGTGAAAACTAAAATGTAAAATTATAAAATGAAAAAATTTAACCGGTATTTCTCACTTAGCATATACTATGAATAAAAGAATAATTTAAAAAAAATATATATATATATATTCCTTGGGTTACTCACCCCAACAAAGATTCGAAAAGAAAAGAAGAAATTTAAATCTCATTCTGTGCCGGTAAACAACGATGTTCTATCCCAACTTGTTTATGATTATCAGTTGCCGTCCAAATTAAATCTTCTTCACCCTAATTGGCTTCCTGTTTTGACGTAATTCGTAGGAAGACACTGAATATCACTTCGGCGATCAAGAGATGAAACGACTGACCTCTCTCCTTCTTTCACTTAATGGAATCCGTGAGTCTGGTATTTAGCCACGAGCTTCCTAATCATGCGTTTCAAATCTTTCGTGTTACATGCGAATGCCTTAAAAATAATCCAAGTTTTGCAAGTTTTTCATATTTAAATAAAGCTGCAAAAGTGATGCAATGGATTTAAGATGTTTTCTAAAGAGCAACCTTAACTTAGCTATATTTTAATTAATTCCTTATTTCCAAAATAAATTTTTTTTAATTTTTCAATCTGCTTTTTAATTATTAATTAATTATTTTTTCCTTAAACATAATTTTAACTTTAAACTAACTAATTTTTACTTTAAATTAACTAATAAAATTTTAACTTTTTAAATTAAATTAGATTTTCAATTAAATATTTTTAATAATTTTACTTTTTTTTAAAAAATCTTAATTTTAATTTTCTTAATTTTTTTGAAATCAAATTGTTTTATTTTTCTTTCAAGTAATTTTAAAAATTAAATTTACCTTTAAAAAAATTTTTTTCTTCTAAAACTCATCTCTTCAATAAGAGAATGCCATATACTTTCGGGAGAAACTTTTCCTGACAAATTTTGCTTCACCTGCAGAGGTAAATTAAAGTTTTATTTATAGGAAAAAGGGGTCTCAGGTGAACCCAGAGTAAACCAAAAAGTTTCAAATGCTGATTTTTTTTTCTTTCAAAGTATCAAAATGCAAACAAATTACGACAGGATTACGGAGCGTAATCCTAAGTAATCTTGCGATTCCCCTCTCCCCCCCCCCCATTTGAATATTTAAGAAAAACATATTTTTAGAATTTACAACTTCACGATTCGCTCTTGGCTTACCTGAACTCCCTTTTTTAATACTTTAAATTTTAAATTACTAATATAGATAAAAACAGAATTCGCCTTGAAGCGTTTCTCCGGTGGTATAGCGTCCCCTTATAGTTCTAGAAGACTTCTATACACCAATAAAAATCAGTTTCTCGCCAAGTCGTTTATTGTTTATTTTGAATACAATACAATACAATACAATACTTTATTATGATATAATATAATATAATGTAATATAACGTAATTTAATATAATATATTATAATATAATATACTATAATATAATATACTATAATATATATGTTATGTATTATGTTAGTATACTATAATATACATAACATAACAAAACATAACATAACATAACATAACATAACATAATATAATATAATATACTTAGTAAATATTTTAGGAACAGAAATATAATATTAAAATTTTTTTACATAATAGTAAATATTTAACAAATGAAAATATAATAATAAATTTTTTTAATATAATATTAGTCATCCAACAAGCAAAAATATAATATTAATCATTTATTTATTTTTGTATTTAGTTTACGCTTTATTGTTTTAATTATTGTAATAAAGTTATGTAAAATTAAATATCGTTGTTAATGTAATATAAATATAATGTACTGTTTCAAGATAATGTAAAACTAGAGAGATACAAATATTTTAAAAGAAAGTTATTTGACTACTTATTGAAATGAAACTTTTTTTATAAGAAGAAATGATAAGCAATCTTGTTGTTAGGTAAAAATGTAATTTGTTACTTCTTCATTTAAAAAAATCATTAGAATCATTAATTTTTAAACGCAATTTTAAATGATTGATGAATATTATTATCCCTTCCTACATGTACCAAGTATCGAAAGAAAAGAGTTGCTCTCTGAAAAAAGAGTTTAATGCTATTATTTCATTTCAGTGGAATGAAATTAACTGTATGAAATATTTTGTTAGGGGGACCGGAAAGTAATGTCGTTATGCAGAGAAAAAAGGAATCTATCCTTTGCGCTTCAGTTGTAATTGTTTTTTTTCCTTCCTAATTGTTTGTTTTTCCTAGTTGTAATTGTTTTTTCAGTTGTAATTGCTTTTTTCCCCTATTTTATTAGGGGGGCCGGAAAGTAATGCCGCTTCGGCTCGTTAAATATTCGTCAATCTTAAGAACCAATTCATTTTTTTCGATCCATTTCGATTCATTTTCGATGCGGCATTGAAAGGTTGTTGCTAATGAGGGTGAATAAATTATTGATTAAAAGTAAAATCTTGATAACAAATATCAAATGCACCAAAACGACATTACTTTCCGGTCCCCCTAATAAATTAGGGAACAAAAAAAAAAAATTGCAACTGAAAAAACAATTACAACTTGAAAAAACAAACAATTAGGAAAAAAACAACAACTGAACTACCAAGGATAGATTCCTGTTTTCTTTGCATAAAAAATACTAACCTCATTTTTACACTACAGATTATTAGTTTCTCACGCATCGCTGAAGCGTTGGTGGTATAACGGTTAGCATAGCTGCCTTCCAAGCAGTTGACCCGGGTTCGACTCCCGGCCAACGCATGTTTTCTTTTTTCAAATTTTTTTACTGCAGAAGTTTTATTATATTATCAAAATTTTTCAGAAGAGAAACGCTAAGAATTCCAAAATTTGTGCACTTTTTATATTTTATTTTAGAAACAACATGCACAATATGCAATCTGCCTTTTACTCTAAGTAACCATTTTCAAAATGAATAAAAAAGTTTCTTAAGCACGTAGTACGTAAAAAAGTTACAGTACGTAAAAATTAAATACACAAGTGGGCGACCTTTGTGCTAAAATACAAAACTAAGGCAAACAACGTTAAAGAGCACAAAAATATTTACAAAAAAAAAAATTATAAAATTGGCATTTATAAAATTTTTATAAATATTTTTGCGCTCTTTAACGCTGTTTGCCTTAGTTTTGTTTTACGTAAAAATAACTTTACAATGCTGAAAATATTTTGCAATTTATAAGAAACTACGAAATTGGCTAAAAAATGGAATTCTGTCTAAAGACAAGGAAGGTTGGACGCCGTTCTTTTTATGAGAAAGAAAAAGTTAGGGGAGTAAAATGTTTTAAAAATATTTTACAATATCCTAGCATTTCTTAAATATTCTCTGTCGAGAAGGACATCAGAAGTTGCAGGTTAAAAAAACAAATTCATTAAAAGTGGTTTAGAATTTAAAACTGGGTTCATGTAAACGAGAATAAATATTTTTTCCTCGTGTTTAAATAAGCCATTTTTTTTTATTCAAAAAAATTTTGAACATGGGCGTAAATTAGGTTCTGCCAAGTTCGTGTTATAAAAGTAGTAACTACATTTCGAAAGCTGTTCTTAGTCATTACATTTTTGAAAAAAAGTAGTTGTATTTAACTACAAAAATAATGCAGTTTTTCTAACAACTAATTATAAGTATTACTAGAGTCGATTTGATAAATTTAAGTCATCATTATGACCATCTCTTTTTATGTCCAGTTGCACTAAAGGCCTTCTTAATCATCATCAACTAATAAATTTCAGGAGCATTTATGGGAAGTGTCCCAAATTTGAGACTGTTGCCTCCACGTGCTCAGTATATTTAATACCTTATAAATCTTAGTTCCTAAAATTTTCATTGTACATTCGGAGTTGGCAGATATTCAACTATAGAAGTGTTAGGAGCCGTGGTAGCTCAGGGGAAAGAGTGCTCGCCTTCCAATGAGGTGCCCAGCCATCGCTGGGATTCGAATTCTGCACCCGACTCGCACTGACCACAGTGCTGATTTAAAATTATACTCAGAGGCAGACTTATCATGAGTTAGATTCCCTTTGCCGTCAGACTAAACATGGGAAGTTTACGTGGTTTTCCTCTCCATGTAAAGCAAATGCGGTTTAGTTCTATCAAAAAGTCCTTCACGACTACAATTTTCTCCCAATACTTACTTAGTCCAGGAGTTATCTTGTTTTCTGGATTGGGTTCAAAATTACTAAGGATTACGAAGGCTACGGAGTTGAACATTGGTAGTCGCGAGCTCAATATTGGGTCTACTGTTCAACGACGGTAATAAAATATAGAGTTACTAACAGGGACAAATTACTAAAATAATTCCAAGCAAAAACTCCTCTTTAAATTTTGTGAATTTGAAAATTCATCTTTGGATTCAAGGAGCGTTGTGTTCAACACGCTATTTTTATAGAGCGGTGTCAAAAGACAGTTTTGCTTGAAAGTTTTTTTATGATACAGATCATTGCGGGAAGCAGTTCTAAAAATATTGAATGGAGTTGCGCTGTAAAATCACGATGTATTTAGTTTAAATTATCTATTTTTTAACTGAAAGTTGAGAATTCCTTCAATTTCAGTGATTATTTTCATTTAAATGCAAAGGTTTCAAAAGACACCTTTTGGATAAAACAGATATGCACAAAATGGCGAAAGAAATAGTCTTAAAAATCTTAATGTTTGTATACAGTCAATTTCACTTGCATTTTCATAACTATTGTCGCAGTTTCGAAGAGATTTCTAAAAGTATGATAGTGTATATTATGAAACACTTTATGTGATTAATATTTGGGGCCTATTTTGTTTATATTAGCCTTAGTTTTAAGAGTTAGGTTATGTCAGCTCACTGCCTTATCAGTTACAATAAAGTTTAAATGACTTAAATATAGTATTGAATAAAATATATTAAATATGTTGTCGTTGTCGTTGTTTTCGTGTCCATGGATCTTCAGATCACATCAAAGGTCTGGACTATTGCGGCCGCCAACTTCGGCGCCTCTTGACTGTAGAGAACAGCTCTAAGATTGTCCTCAGTTGGCACCCATCCCAATTTTAAAACATGAGTGGTGAGTGAGGGGCACTCGAAAATGTGTTTTGGTGCCAGCATGACATCCGGGTAGTTTCTTCAGGGAACGTATGTGCTGGTCTTGTCCGGGAGAATTTTCATTCCTCTAAAATGATTGGTCCTAAGTCTTGCTATTACCGTGATGTCAAGGCTCTAGGGCAATATATTAATATATTATGGTGATATCAGTTTCGAATATCTATTACACAAATATCTATGAAAAAATAAAAAAATAATAATTAAGAAATTAGTGGAGCATAGATAATAACATCAGAAGAAGTAATCGAAGCAACGAAAATGGGGGGGATGAATATTAGTAATATAAAGAATGTAAATGTTGAATATATACGGCAATAAATACTAAATAAGTTGGCTACTTCAAATCAAAATGAAATTATAAACTCAACGACTTGTTTAAGAATGGTTAGGATTTTTTTAGTCATGTTTAAGATACCTGTATGTCAAGCCAAATTTTATTAAAAAAATTGGTAATGAAGTGGATAAAATTATTGAAATTAAAAATCATTAAAAGACATCTATTTGTAATCTAAAAAGTAACTTGAGATACGTGGCATGATGATTATGGCATGATCATGATGAGAGACTGACTTGAGATAAGGTTTAAAAATTTCGTTATTGATTTTTCATTTCTATTCTATTCTACACTTTAGAACCGTTATAAGCATGAGGCTTATATTTATACGTATAAGCGATTAATAGAATTTAGATATGAGTTATAAATTTCCAGAATATGCTACTCATTATTCTTTTAATTGTTGGTATTTATAGTACAAACGCAATACTTTCCGTACTTAAAATGACAACTTTTATTTTTATATGAAAAAAAAAAAGGATTTTCTCAAAAGCCCAAAAAATGGCGGTAAGAAATCAATAGAAACTTAAAACCGACACCATTTAAAGTTTAATCTCGAGAGAAACTGATTAAGTGAGCAATTCTGTAACAGAATTTATCTGATAAGGCTCAAAATCTCAAAATTTTTATGCTTCATAAGCAGGCTACCTATAATTCAATCAATAACTTATAAACACTCATTTTTTTAAAGATCTATTCTTTATCAGAAATGAACTTTGCCATGCAGACAACTGCAATCGAGATTATTTAGAGACAGGAAATTATTTACCTGATAGGTAATAAGGCGATAAAAAATTGTTTCGCTTCTCCACAGCGAACCAAGCCTAATTTCAACTGCATTTAAAAATTAATAAAACTTTCTATAAAACTTAAATAATTAATGTTTCGGCATTGAATACATAAAGGATGAAGATATTATTAGTTCTTTTTGCCTTAGCAGTTCTAGTTCGTAAGTTTACAATTTTATTTTATAACATATTAACCCTAAAAAGGATGTTACTCTTACTAATTCATAAAAATCGATGTTTTCTTTTTACTTCACTATTACAACGATCAATATAGACAACAATTTTCCCAGCTATATAACAAGAGTTTTTTAATTTTAAAATGATAAAAGCTTCTTTTTTGAGGTCTGTACTATTTGTGCCTAGCAATAGTACAAACCTCAGTTTTATTAAAATTAAATTTTATTAAAATTAAGGGACCCAAATTTTCAAACGCTTTCCTGTCGGAACTTTTAGGACTAAATTTTCGCATACATTAAGAGTCAAAAATCCAAATCCATCTAAAAGAAGTTTTGTTAATTCAAAGAAAGTACGCTTTTGTTGCATAAAACATCACATGTTAGAAATCATTAGCTTATTTAGAGTTAACAAATAATTTTCTTTAAAATTGCATCTTTTTTCGTGAAAATCCTATCATTAAATCAAAAGTCATTAAGGTGTTCCATTTTTTATTTTACCACTGTGTACAGTGCACAAACTTTTAAGTTAGTTGTTTGATTTCTAAGTAATTGGTTCCAGAAATAAAAAAAAGAACAGAAAAATCTTTTTTTCGTTAACTTTTTAGCTGATCGTGTTGAAATTTAGGTATTGTTTAGTATGATTTGAACATTTTTAAATCTTATAATTGAAAAAGCTGTCATGCTCGATCATTACTGAGTTAAATAAAAAAATTTAACAAAATAATACTTTTAAGATTATTTTTTGATACTATTTCTTTTACGGTTGATATTATTATATTTAGTTAATGCTATTTTTGCTTTCATACAATGTAATTACAATTTAATAGGAACTACTTAATTGCTTAACACTAGAAAGACATAGCGTGTCTGTAAACCCAGAAAGACTTGAAGGGGCCAGTCCTAGGCCTCTTCCCAAATTGTTTATGTGTAGATCAATTAGACATCCAAACTCTTAAAACAAAATCATAATTAATTTAACTGAAAACAATTATTGACTTAATCATAGAAATTCTATGTTGTTTTTTTCGGCTTAGTTTGCGAACATAATTGATTAAATTTTGCCTTTTCAAATATACTTATATGTTAGTTTCTTAATTGAGTTTCCTTTTCTCTATAATAATTATAAATATGCTGAAACACTTTTTTAATGAAACTGGTGTACCTTGTACTTACCCAAAAGTACCTAAAACCCAAACCTACCTACACTCGCAGAAAAAAAACTCTATGCTTGATCAATGCAACTCAATGCTTGATTTGTATTTCGTTGCATTTCGTCACGAAATCACGTGATTTGTGGCTAAACTCGAACTCGTATTACCAGAAAGATCCTGGGTTCATAATGGAAAGATCCTGGGTAAATAATAAAATATAATAAATAGTTATAAGAAATGCTTTTTCCTATGGAATTACCTTTGGATAAACAAGCTCTATAATTGCTGGCAAAAGGTTTTTTTGATTCACTTCATTAGTTGCGTTGGTTTGGTGAAATGGTCAAAGAGAGAAATTAATATAAAGGGGCATAAAACTTCCGACTGCTCTCCGGCCTAAGCGATTTGGACCATAGTTTCCTGCTACTTCCCATATTTTTTCCAGTTTTTTTTTATTTAGATTTAGTTCCGGAATTCAAGTACGTCGAAGAAAATGTAAGTTTCGTTAGAGCACGTTTTTAGTTCTTGTTTCATGACTTGAAAAATATTCTTTGTACAAATTAATTTGTACATTTAAGGTCAAGCTCTCGAACAATTGAATTCTGGTACGCTTAAAACTGGAAGCACCGTTCTGGTCATTTTGATCGTTTTTTGCAATTTTGCTTGGTGTTTTTGAAGATACACAAGAGCTTTAAAACTTATCTATTTTTCTTTTTTTACTTTTTCTAGATTGTTTTCATGCATACTTTTTGAAATTTTCATGCGTTTATATTAGTTATTAAAATAAATAAACATGGAAATACCTTAAACAGTCAAAAGGGATTATTTTGCACCCGTAAAAAACGTTCATTTTTGAAGTTTCGTGCCTTTTTTTAATTTTTCAAAACTGCAAAGCTTGTAAAGATGACTTGTAGCACTGAAAATGAGATCCACTTTTTAAAAAAAATACCACGCAATAGTGACCTTTTAACTATATGGTATCCTAGATTCGGTGTTCTAAGGAGCTTAGTTGAGCTCTTATTGAATTACATAGTCGTTATTGCGTCTGAAAAAAACCCATGAATAATACGGGGAGGGGGGGGAGCGGCTAACCTTGAATAACTTTTGATTTTAGCGATAATTTTTAAATTCGCTTGAAAGGTTTCGGAGATAGGACGAAATACGCAAAAAGTAAAACTTACATTAAGGGGTCCAATAAACTTTGGATCGTTCTCTTCACCAAACTATGGGGGCCATATTTCCCAGATTGCGGCTACCCCCCATATTTAGGGAATCAGAAATCCGAATCCATTGCAAAAAAGATACGTTTGTTCAGAGAAAATATGTTTTTGTGTCTGATTTCATAACTTAAAATATCGTCTACACTTATTAAGTAGGTAACATATTTGAGGTCACACCTTTGAACCACTAAGAATGAGTCCAAAAACGTGAAAATCAGATTAGATCAAAAGTTTTTCAGGATGATCCATTTCTTTTTTTTTTTGGGGGGGGGGTTCACTGTACGTAGAATAAGTCTTCCCTACAACATAAAAGAGAATGTTTATTAAATGAGATTTTTGAAGTTACCCGCTCAACCATTAAGATTGAGTCATAGAACGTGAAGATCCGATCATTAGATTAAAAGTTAACCAGGGTGGTCTTTTTTCTTTCTTTTTTTCTTTTTGGTGCACTGAACTTCTTGATTATAAACAGTTATCTTTGTTATAATTCGGGACGAGAAAGAAATGTTAGTGAAAAGATATTGACCAAAATGGAAATTTATCGCATGCCGAACAAGTCACATGACTTGGACTAAGTTTCTGCTTTCAAAGGAGGTAAAATTCAAAAAAATAATTTTTTTTTATTGGTTATCTTTATTTGTGCGAGTTTAAAAATAGCCAGCTGAATTGTAACTCTAGGGAAATATAGTGCCCTAAGTACGGAACCACGCTTCAACTCCTTCAAGTAATTATTTTTACTTAACTAAAGCTTGCAGATTAATTTTTTTTCGTTAAAATAGGAATATTAAGTCAAAATCTATGAAGGTTATTTTTTTTATCCTGGAACATCAGAAAACTGATACAAATAGGCCATTTGCGAAGTTAGCCTTAGGCTCTGATATATGGGTGATTCTTTGGAAACATGACAATTTGGAACAAACAATTTCTTCAAATTTAAAGTCTTCAAAATAATCTAAATTTCTTTTGTATATTTATTTAGTTACATATATTAATATCTTAATGACAGCTGTGTAGCTTATTGACATTTGCTCAAGAAAAAAATATAGAAATTCATCAAGTTTTTAATGCCAGGAAAATGACATATTAGCTTAGAAGATAAAAAAACAGTCATTTTAAGTTGATAGTAGTTAAGTAACTCAACATAAGCCTTTGCGTTAAATGGACCATGATCTCCTTAAATTAATTCTTTTATCCACTGTAGAAAGAATCAAAAATGTTTTTGTTGCTGATATGTACAGAATAAAATTGTGTAGAATAATCAATCATTAATTTTTTAAAAAAACTTTGATTACATTCAAGCATATTACAATCTTACATAAACTTGGTATTAGGTTGATATTTGCTTTTTCTCTTTACATTCAACTGTTTAAAAAATTTTCTGGTAACTGTCTCAATGTCCTGGCATTCATAAGCCAGGATAATGACAATTTACCATTATATAGCATTTAACTTTACTTTAATTTAACATTTCTGCCTAAGATGTTTACATTCTGAAGAAAACAACAGGATTTCTTGAAATAACTCAGGTAAATCTATGTAGTTTATGTTATTAATGATTTCAAGAAGACATGAAAATGATAACATAAAAACCTACTCACCTTGAAACATTTTTTGAAATAGGTTTTGAACCAGAAAGTTGGTACTTTATTCATGCAATTAGACTTGTTCAGATAGGATGGTATTCTAATCAATCTATTAACATGAGACATTGATTGCTGGCCCTATCTATTTTGATTATAAATTACTAAATAAAAGTAGCCAGGAAAATGACAGATTTTCTTGTGACAAACATATTATTGACAGAAAAAATTCTTTTCAACGAAGTTTTTGTTAATAATACCCTCCGCATATATTCTAGAAATGCTTACAACGGTTGAGATAAGAAAATTAGATATTGAAAAATTTATGGGATGTTTTGAAGCTAGTTATTATTGGAAATATTGTTTGTGACATACCAGGAAAATTACATTTTGAAATTCAATTAAATTTTTTAAAAATACAAAACGGCCAATGCTAGTACAAGGTCATTTTAAAATATTAACAACAATGCTATTTATTAAAATCGTTAAAAAAAAGTTCTTTTAGTAGTATAGTATATTAGATCTTTAAGCAAGAGACTGTAAATTGTCATACTTTGTGAGAATCACCCATATGTTTTTAATCGAAAAATAATCAATAAAATTATAAATTAACAAAATTGGATAAATATTTGGCTTTAAGTTATTGTTATCAATCAATGTTAAAGATAAAAGAAAGAGGTCTCATGTGATCAAAAAACAAACATATATTAAACAACTTGTTTGCAAACTTCGCAAGGAAAGGAAGTTTAATTAATTGATTGATCTGATATAGATAGAAAAGTCATTTACCCATAAAAATAATCTCTCATTGATCTAATTAATCTATAACCAATGCAAAAACGAGTTTATTCATTTTATTATATTGTACATTCTGCAGCATTTTCCATAGTTGAGTATGTGAGTTTTAATATAATACATTGAAAGTAATACATTGAATTAATACATTTAATTTAATGCATTCAAGTAATACATTGAAGGAAATCGATTATGTGAGAATATAGATAGATGCGAAATTGCTAAAATAAAGACGAATTAAATAAAAAAGTTTTAAATGACGTATTCGGTTAAGATAGATGTACTAAAATGTTTCTTGGTTTAATTTTTTGAATTTCTCTAAGAAGAGTTTAAGCTTTGAGTTACTAAATTAAATAAACTCTTAAAATAAAATACAAGTAAAGTACCTACAATAATTTTTTTTAAAGAGAGACTATTCACATGATGCTTTCATGTTTGCAATTAATTTTCATTAATAATTAGTTAAATTTTCTATGATTTAAAAAAAGAGAAAACTTAAATGGAGTGCAAAAATTATAATATACGTGTAAACAATGTAAAAAACAATATCCATCTTGGTGAACAGATTTATTTAAAAACATTTTAAGAAGTCAGCTCACGAAAATAAGCGTTAACTTTACATATTCACGATACATTATTTCAATTTTATTACATAAATTATTCTATAGTTATGAAATAAAATTATTATATAACTTTATTTCGATTATATTACAAAATTTTTCCTCATAGATTTTGCATTTGCTGAACTTACATAGGAAACCGACGATTGGTAATTTAATTAAAATGTGCTATAAACTTCCAATGAAATTCTTTTTCGATTAAACGGCTGAAAGTTAAAAAATTCTCTGTTGTTGTTGACGTATGCCTGTTTTAGGCAGAGGGGTGCGATTGTTCTTGTTTTCCAGTGGCGCCATCTTTGGACAAGAATTCGACTTCTGCCACACCCATACGTCACACCCGTTTATAGGGCGAACCCATTCATCCACAGATCGTAATTTTGACCTGAATCAGAGAACGATCGATCTTCAATCCTGTACCCAGAGAGGTATTAATTTGTTTATGGGAACATGGAGGACTTTGCGACTCGACAGATTTAACATGCGTCAGACATGGGCCCAGCGCCCTACCGACCAGGCTATCCCGGCCAAAAAATTCACTAATACCATAAATAAAATGGTATTACCATTTTATTAGAAATTTAAAAAAAAGAGTTACTTGCAGTTTAACTGCAACGAGGAAATTATTCCAAGAAAAACTATTTCTTCGCAACACATGAAGGAGTGATCATAGGGAAGATGCTTTGAATAAGGTTTGTTCTAATGATCTGTTTTTCAAGAACTATATGTCAATCTAAATTCGTCAAAGGGGGGCTTCAAATATGCTAATTAATTAATGCAAAAGATATCTTAAGTAACGAAATCGAACAGAAAAACGCATTTTCACTGAATAAACATGCTTTTTTCCCGATCCATTTGGATTCCTAACCATCAAAATAACGAGGGTAGTCGCAATCTACTTAAATTTTTGTTCATTTCTTAATATTTTCAGAAACTTTATTTGTTTACTACAAGCGGATTCTCCAAGACTTAAAACAAGTGCTCGAGATATTTGGAGTAAATTTTATTCCGTTGTGTGGAAATAATATACCGAACACATTATGTTATTTGGCATTAATCGCTCATCATTGTATGAAAACAATGTTATGTATAGTATAAAATGTTCTTTTTCAGATTCTGAACATCATGAGGATGACCTTAAATGTAATTTCAGAATATGTGGGGCAGAACTGCTGAATTTTGAACACTTTGGAATTTCTAGTATATTTAGGTAAGGAAATTTTTTTCATTGCGAATAATAAAACAACTCCTTAAACTAAAAAAAAAAATGATCAAATAAAAAAAAAAACGCCTATGTTCTAACATTGTGTAATATTGTATCGTTAACTTAGAAACATTTTTTTCCCTTCCAAGGGAAGTATTCATCTCGAAAATGCGTATTAAAACAATGTTAAGCTTGAGTTAAAGAGCTCGTTTAAAAACCTTGGATAGAGTAAAAATTATCCACCACATCTGCCCCTAGGGCGAAATACTCCCCATTAAAGTTTCAGTTCATTTACTTTTAAACAACCAAAACCTTTCCAGCTAATATGCATTGTCAGAGATGTCTGCGGTTCAAATCACAGCTTGGACGGTCGAGTTTTAAACTCTTATTTCTTTTTCTGATAAGTATAAATAACTAAAAATTAATATATATTTAAATTTTTAATTAAATTATATGGAATTTTTAAAAAAAATAAGCCAGGAAATATCATCGATAATATCTTGATATTTGAAAAATTTAATTGTCTATAGTTAAATTTAAAACAATGGCTAACGCTTAACCAAACAGAACATCGAAAGTGACCTTCCTCGCGCTTCGAACTATCTATTCGACAAATTTCGTCGCTTTCAATTGGATGGTTTAGGACTTAATAAAGGACACACACACAAACAGACATTAATTTTTTTTATACATAGAAAATGAAATCATAGCAAAAGTTAACAACCAAAAAATTGGATTAGTGTCTGTTAGAAAAGAAAACCACATCATTCAAATTTTGTAATTTTTTAAAGAATCCATAGATTTTTATTAAAAAATTAAATATCTATAAGCCTTTTTTTGTTATTAAAATTATTTTTTTAGAAATTAATTTAGATTAAAAAATAATTATTTTTAAACAGAAAAAAAAAAGTACTAAATAGTTATCAACCTTATTAGAAAAGAAAATTAGGGTTAAAAACTTGATATTCCCAATTCGGATTTAAACCTCGGGCATCTTTGGCAGAAGGCGGGCAGCCTAAACTTTACACCACTAATACGCATTAGATGGAACGTTTTTGTTCATTTAAAAGTAATTAAAATTGGACATATATTTTACCTTAAGTAGATGTGGCGGCTAATTTGTACCCTATCCATGGTTTCTAAATGCGTTCTTCCCTTGTTAGTGTAGATAGATATTATAAAATCAGCCACTTTATAAAATCAAATGATTTTAATAAGCGGCCGACACTGTTTATATGAAAAGTTCGAGTTTTACGCTGACATTAAAATATTTTAATATTCTTATAGGAAAGTAGAAATTGGTTCATTTTGCATAAGAAATTGCACTCCGCCAGTAGTCCATGAATTTTTCCAAAGCATTATATTTGGTATAACAAGACGAATTCCGAACCATTGCTCTGGGGAAGGCTGTGCGGAAAAAAATAGTAAGTAATATTGCTCATAGACATTTAAATAATTTAGACTATTTACACATTATCACATTTCTGAAAATGTATTTTTAGATTCTATGTCAAAAATGAATACAAATTAGAGATTGGGAAAGAATACAAACGTTACAGAAGTCTTTAAAATCATTATTAAAAAAAATGGGAATATAAACATTGAGGATGTTTCAAATAATCAGCTTTCAACTCCTCTTTCCATCAAAGGGAAATCGAGCTGGTATTGATGATTTTAATCTCGCTTTCATAAAGTTTTGGCAGAAATTTATAACTTGTTTCTTTCTCTTTTTTCCTAATATCTATTAAGCTTAATTTTTTATTTCATTTTTTACAAGAATCGAACCTTGTTTAAACTGTCCGATCACAAATGGTATTCTTAGTTGAAACCAGTTTAACCCTTTGCACTTGCATGATGAAAATTTTAGACCAAACTTGAATATCACGCGTCAGGTTCGTTGCTTAATTTCATGTCAAACAAGAATATCATGAGACGTACTCGTGGTTTTAATCTCGGGCTAAACAAGAAGGGCTGAATGGGATCTTATTTCTTCTTTATATGCATAGGTATTTTATATCTTGTCTCCTAATGTAATTTACGTGCTACTTTAGGATATATTGTTGAAGTCCAGATAACATTTGAAAACTAAGGCTATTTTTGCGAACATTCGGGTGCATAAGTTATGCGCGGTTTGTTCGGATTTAAGCGTAGTGCAAGCGTAGTGTTTTTGAAAGCTGATTCACGCGTCTATTTAGAAATTTCACCGACATAAAGAAAAAGAAGTTATTTCATTTTGAGAAAAAAAAGCTGTAAATCCTGATAATAACTATGAAGAATAAAACGAGGATTTCTTACAGTTTGAGGGAAACGCCACAAACATCACGTTTGACGTTAATGCATCAGTTGATGAAAATGTTGAAACTTGTGGTGTTGGCGGTTCAAGAAATATTAGCAGAAGCTGAAGTGAAAATTGATACCGAAGACGATGAAACGTCTTTAACAACATAAATATTTTTGACTCAATCATATACTTTTTTTGCAATTGAATACTTTTTATGCTTATTTTATTTTAGAACCGACATTGAACAGTTAAGCCTATTCTTAATTTATGACAACCAATTTTTAATTCCGTAGCCTTCAACCAACCCAAATGCCAAAGGAACTTGTGGGCAAAAACTAGCCTCCGTGGAGATTTTTTTGATGTAACTAACCCACATTTGTGTTACACAGTGAGAAAAATCACGAAAACCTCCCACAGTTAGCCCGACGGCAAGGGAATTCTAAACCCTGATCTGCGTCTACCACTGAGGATATTTTACGTCAGAACTATAGTTGATGCGAGCCACGTGGGGAAGTAGTTTCGGCCAGCTATCGCTGGGATTCCAGCCCGGGTCACCTCGTTGGAAGGCGAGAACTTTATCTCCTTAGCCACAATGGTCCATTGGAGTTTGCTTGTGGAATGACAACGCTCGTCCTCAAACAGCGCTTCAAACCAAAGCACTATTCAAACGTTTCAAATGAAAAATTTTAATTGGTTGGTGCGAGTCGAGAGGAGATTTCGTATCTTTTATGTTGACCTGTATTTTTCTCTCTCAATTAATGGTCCTAACGAGGAGGAATTGATCGAGATTCTACCACTGTATATTAAAAGTGATCATCACTAAACATCCAGCACAACTTAAAAATGCTGTTAGGGTGGATAACAAATCAAATAATAAATAATTTCCTCGATAACAAAACGCGTACAAGAGAAAAATCAAAAACTAATACCAATTTTGTAGTTTCTTAAGGATGAAGTACTGACAGCTTGGCAGACAGTTGTTTGAATGTTTCTCATTAAAATTGAAATAAAATTATTCATCATTATCCCATTGATAGAGAAAATACAATTACAAAAAAAGGTGAGTCGTAAAGAACAGTCAAAAGTTAAATAAAATTAAATCGATTGTTTCTCAATCCTGATATATGGTGTGAAAAAATTTAGATAAAGCACAAGTTGCTACAAATTTACTGGGAGTTCTAAGATGTTAAGTAAAAAAATATAATGAATTGGTAATAATATTTTTTGAGATCGGCGATAACTTTAAACATTAATGTCAACAATGCCTGATTTATCATAAGGCCTAAGACTCCCCTAAATGTTACTTATATTTTTTTTTTTTACGTTAGTTTTTCCTTATGAATTGTTTACTAGAACTATGAATTAACGAAAATTGAAATAAATATATATCGTAATTTACACTTGTAAATTTAGCTGAGCTCAAATTTATTAATAATCGTAACTTACTTGTGTAGTAAACAATTTAAAAACACTTCATATTTAAATAACATGTAAATTTAGTTTAAAGTAACGACCTTCGACTCCGGGCCCCCCGCATTTCTAAACCTAACCCTGGATGTCAATATTACGCTGTCAAGAAGGTAAATAAGATGGTATGTGTATATCTGGTCAACAAAAAGCTGATTTTTTTTTTCAATGCACAGTTGGATACATTAAAGTATCAGATAAGTTTTTCTTTTGTAAGGAATATAACTTTGCCAACTATCTTTGCTTTACAAACATAAAGGGTTATGATTGTAAAATGGAAAAAAGTTGTAATGATGACCGCTTCTCACTTTCCTGCATTAACACGAGAAATAAAAAAAATTGCTCCCATTTTGGCCTTTGCCGTTTAATATTGCTAACATAAATGGCAGGAAGGGAATTTCCCACAGGAAAAAACTTGTTGTAGAGGGAGGATAGTAACATTCAGCTAATCATAAATATAAATAAATTTTAGCATTTTAACGGGAATTCGGAAACTTGTAAAAGACGGATAATGACGTACTCGACAGTCTACTCGCAATTAGCCGGACTCGTTAAATCTTATTTCATTGAATAAACGGCATTGAACAGCCGATCCAATTCTGAGGTTACGCCTAACAATATTAGACTCCGTAAACTCGTAATTCTGAACCCAACCTAAAAGACAAAAGCCATCTTAGATCAAACTTTCGAACAATCTAGCTTTCACGGAGGACTTCTTTGATCGAACCGACCAGCATTTGCTTTACATGGAGAGAAAAACCACCCGCGGCTAACTCGATGGTCAGGGAATTCTAATCCATGATCCGTCTATCACTGACGATGTTTAACGTCAGCCCTGTGGTCGGTTCGAGCAAGGAGTAGAATTATATCAATCGGCCTTCCCTGAGATTCGAACCTAAGTCGTTTCATTGGGAGGTAAGAGGTCTCGTTATATCGAATTTTTACTATGTAAAACTTAATCTAACAATGGGAATTTTCTAGAACACAAAACATCGTAATTTGATGGGTTAATTTAGAATTCTAGCACGCACTCAATGCCGTAGAGCTCTCACGTTCCAAAATAAAAAATATATGGTACTATAACTCTAATTAAAACAATCCACAAGATCTGAAAAGGAAATTTTTGAAAAACCTACCATTACATGTAACATAAGTATAAGTAATTACAGTTTGGGCAGATTATTTAAACTTTTTAAGTAAAATTGCAATTTTTGTTTCTAGGATTCGTGGCACTTGCTAAATGCGCCAAAGAAAAGGCTTGGCCGTTGTTACAATGCAGTAAAAGACTAATTGATTTGGCTCACATCGGTTTATTGGATTACTCTGACGTGGAAAAAACAAATTCAACTTGCAGGTAAGTTGAATAACTCTGTAGAATGTAGTTAGAAATAAAAGAGCAATAACATAATGAGTTACCATAGTTTTTTTTTTGGCTCCTGAATTCTCAATCATGCACGGTCTGGTTTTAAGACCTAATTTTGGTTCATACGAAATGCTACTGTAAACATCCAAAACGTTGTTTTTTTAGAAGAAATTTTGTTTCGTGATACTTTGTTTGCACGATATTTTGTGGATTCCATGAATTTTGTTAACATGACATTTCATTGCATTCAGTACACAGGTTACTAATACATCCATTGTTTTGAGGTCTACCTTAAAACCATAGACCAGCCAATACAGTTAATTTTAATACCACATTTAAACAGATGATTAAAAAGTAGCAGAAAACAATGTATATTTATAATACATCTTTTCGTGTACTTGATAATTAAACAAAGTGCTAATCGTCGATCATGTTTTTATTGCCGTCAAGTCAATGGTGGAAAACATGAAACTAATGTTCCCAGATTTTCCCTTTTAATGTTCCCAGAGTGCTACATATAGTAGCCAAAATGCAATTTTTAAAAATTTATTTTATTAAATATGTTTAAGATTTTTATACATAGTTTAGTCAGTATCGAACAGTTCATTTTACCACGTTTATATAAACTTGCCTTCGTGTATGTCTGTCCGGGTGGAATAGAT